TGAAAGTAATGGTTATTTTTTAAGTATTTTTATTAATTTTTGTTTATTTTATGTTATTTTTTTAGAGGGAGAGGGAGAGAGAGAGAGAGAGAGAGAGAGAGAAACATCAGTGTGAGAAAGACACACGGATTGGTTGCCTCCTGCACACACCCCAATTGGGGCCGGGGATCGAGCCTGCAACCGAGGTCCATGCCCTTGACCGGGAGCTGAACCCCTGACCCTTCAGTCTGAAGGCCTACACTCTAATCACTGAGCAAAACTGGCCATCTTCCTGGAACCGTCTTTCCCCAGAGAGCCTCAGCTTTTGTTCAGTGGCCTCCTTCTCTGTGAGGCCAGCTGAGACACCTCTGCATATTATTTCGACCTGCCTTCCCCATCTATCACCTTAACGGCAAAGTTCTGCTTTGTCTCCTCCCATCCCATCATTCCCTGTGCAAGAGCTGTCTGATTGACGGATGCGCTGTGACTGACTCATCATCTGTGCCCTCCCGCTGGAATCCAGGTCACAGGAGCAAGGGCATCTGTCTGCTTGACCGACAGAGCAGTAGGTGATGGCGCTGGGAGGCTCTGAGTCCCTCCCCACGTTTAGAAGCACCTGTTACTCACCTGGGGAAGAGGGCTGTCCTGTGGATGCCAGGTCAGCGACCCCGGCATCTCCTGACAATGGAGACAAGAAAAAAGAAAAAGTGAGGGTTTTGGGTTCCCTCGGATCTTCCCACCTATTATCTATGCCTAGTCATCTGATATTCTTCCTCATGAACAGTCAACCGGGCCTCAAGGAAATGGACGTGGGTGAGGCATCGCTGGGAGGTACAAGATCTCTCTCTACATCATCCCAACTGGTCCTCATCACGTGGGGGTCCCTGGGGTTTCCAGAGAGGCCCTGAGGAAACACCGGGGGCGTCCTCACCTGTGACCAGGAGCATCACAGGCTCACTGGGGAAAGACCACATGTGCTCGTTATAGGAACCAAAACACCTGTACGTCCCCCTGTGGGCTGGGGTCACGGGGCCCATGGAGAACGCTGCTGGACTGTTGTCGACTCTGCGCCACGGGCGGCTGGCCATCCCCTCCTTATGCAGAAAGAACGTGGTTGTTGCCGTCTCTAGGTGGCAAGAGAAGGTCACGTTCTCTCCTGGGAGCACCTCGGGCCCAGGGTGAACGGAGAGGGTGGGCCTGTCATACATTCCTGTGGGAGAAAGAGGTTGGAAGGCAAAGGGCGTCTTTATCCTGCCTCCTAGACCTCCCACCCCTTCCCTTCCCTTGTCTTTACTTTTTAAAATATTATTATTATTAGTGTTTAATAATCCTCACCCAGTCAATGGATATTTTTCCATTGATTTTTAGGGAAAGTGGAAGAGAGAGGGAAAGACATAGAGAGACATCCATGTGAGAGAAACACATCCATTGGTTGCCTCCTGCACATGCTCTGACCAGGGCTCCAGCTGGGAAGGAGCCTGCAACTGAGGTATGTGCCCTTGACCGGAATTGAACCTGGGACCCTTTGGTCCGCAGACTGACGCTCTATCCACTGAGCCAAACCCGCTAGGGCCATCTTAACCACTTTAAAAAAAATCCTCACCTGAGGATATGTTCATTTACTTTAGAGAGGAAGAGAGAGAGAGAAAGAGAGAGAGAGAGAGAGAGAGAGAGAGAGAGAGAGAGAGAGAGATTGGCTGCCTACTGTGCATGCCTTGACCAGGAATCAAACTCACAACCTATCTGGTGTGTGGGAGGATGCTCCAGCCACCTGAGCCACCTTGGCCTGATTACTTCGAAGTGCACAGTTAGGTGGCATTAAACACATTCATGTTGCTGTGCCACCATCACCCCCTTCTATCCACAGGACTCTTTTCATCTTGCAAAACTGAAACTCTGGCCCCGTAACCAACAACTTCCTCTTTCCCCTTCCTTTAGGCCCTGACACACCCTCCCCCACCTCCATTCTCCTGCCTGTCTCCATGAATGCGACTATTCCAGGGACCTCAGAGAAGTGGAGTCAGGCAGTACTGGTCCTTTTGTGATGGACTTACTTCACATGGGGTTCACCCCCGTCATAGCACATGTCAGAATGTCCTTCCTTCGTAAGTCTGGACAACATGTCCTTGCGTGGATGGGCCACATATGTGTAGAAATATATATTTCTATTGATTTCAGAGAGGAAGTGAGAGGGAGAGGGAGAGGGAGGAAGAAACATCAATGATGAGAGAGAATCATTGACCAGCTGTCTCTTGCATTTCTCCTACTGGGAACTGAGCCTGCAACCTGGGCATGTGCCCTTGACCAGATCGAACCCGGACCCTTCAGACCACAGGTTGACGCTCTATCCACTGAGCCAAACCACATTCTGTTTACCCCTTCATTTGTCGATTGGCACTTAGGTTGTTTCTACCTTTTGGCGACTGTGGACAGTGCTTCCATGAACACGGCTGTACCGAAGCCGTCTGTGTTCAATGAACACTCCAGGCAAGTCCACATTGGCCTATGCTTGAGAACACTCCTCAGCCAAAGGGACCCCAAATTACCCTCCCTCCCTCCTTCCCTATCACGTTTACCCTGTCCTACTTTGTCAGGCCGCCATTTCCTCCTCATGAGCTACCGAATTGACTTACGCATCCTGACTCTCACTCCAGGTCTGTCTTGGGCGAGAGTCCAAGTGCCGTAAGATCAAGGGGACCTGGTGGAACCTCTCTGGGAGGGGTTCTGTTCTCATCCAATCACTGGCTGATGCTGGGGCTGGGAGTGGGGGCCTCTAGCATCATTTGAAACCAGTGTGAAGGGCCCTCTCAGAGCTAGAGTGCTACATATGCATGGCTGGTTCGAAAGTATCCCAGTCTCACCTCATCTGCCCAGCCTGTGTCTCTCATCCATCACAGGGGCTGTTTTTTGAGGACACCCCTCCTCCAACCATCCTTCCTTGCACACAAACATCCATCTCAGCGTCTCTTACCTGAAGAACTTGACCTAAAACAAATCTGATCCTAGAATGTAGAGATAACTCTCAAATAGACAACCCTTGTAGGAAGTGATTAGTCGCCCTCCCCCAAGACAAATGGTATCTGAGTGAGGTTTGGAAGAGGCTCAAAGAGATGAATAGCCGGACTGGGGTAGCTCAGTGGTTGAGTGTTGACCTGTGGACCAGGAGGTCATGGTTCAACACCCGGTTCGGGCTAGATCCCCAGTAGAAATGCAGGAAGCAGCCAATCAATGATTCTCTCTCACCGTTGATGTTTCTATCTCTCTCTCCCTCGCCCTTTCTCTCTGAAATCAATAAAAATATTTTTTAAAAAGGAGAGAGATTAATAAATGACGACGCTCCCCAGGATTCAGGCCAAGGAGGAGACTCTCCAGCTAGAGAAGGGGACACTTGCCTGTTATCACCAGGTCCAGAGGGTCACTAGGCTCTGACCAGAGCTCCCCAGTTCGGTAGAAGCACGTGTACTGCCCTGCAGTGGAGGAGGTCATGGGCCGGATGGAGAACTTGACTTGGTTCGTCAGCCCAGGGGGGTCAGGTCTCTCCAAGGCAGAGAAGAGTCCCTCAAAACGCAGCTGGTACTCAATGGCCCTGAGAGTTCCCTGGCACCAGACGAACACCGACGCCCCGTTTGGAACCATGAAACTGGGTTTGGCCCAGATGAGGGGCTTTGAGAGGGTCTCTGGAAGGGAATCAGAGGCTGGAGGGAATCCAAAGAAAGCCCCTCCTACCCCAATTCCTACCCAGCTGCTGGCCAGCCCTCCCGTGGTTCTCAGGCGGAGACAGCTGAGGTCGGCCCCACCTGAAACCCATTTCTGGGCCAACTTCTACACTTTGAACGGCGGACACTATGCCCAGCCTGGGGTGACGCTGGGGTTTTGAAGGGAGGACTTACGGTTCTGGGCGCCGACGCTCAGGCTCAGATACAGTCCTGGAAGATAGAAACAATGAGCCAGGGTGCTCCACCTGGACCCTGGATCCCACACCCTGTCCCCATAGGAACTCACCGAGGCAGAGCAAGGCAGGGAGTGTAGATGGCATAGCAGAGTCTACCAGGCGGGCGGGCGGGTGAGGAGCAGCTGGATGGAGGCAGAGCCCAGCAGGCCAGGCAGATGCACAGGATGTGGTGAGCGAGGCCCAGCGCCTGCCCACACGGAGCTCTCATGATGGACTGGTTTGCAAGAAGGCTCTCAGCTCTTCCTCACCTCTGGTCGGGCGGCGTAAGGAGAGGACATGGTCCTCACACCACGTCTGATCACAGCCTGAGGCCTCACCAGATCCTCCGACAGTGGTCTGTCTTGTCTGAAACTCGTTTCTGGGTCAACGTCTACGTTTTGAAATGTGGACATTATGCCCAGAGAAGGTGGTGTTCAAGCAAAAATCTTAGAATTGTTATTATTTTTTTCAATGTTTTGGGTAAATTTTAATTTAAAATAGTGCACTGACTGTTCTGTGCAGAGCAAATTTAAATTCATATTTTCTCCAATAATAAGAAATGCATATATCTGGATTATACTGATAAATTATATGAAAGAGGTTTTTTTTTTTTTTTCTTGGAGTGTTTTATGGCACAAATAGAGTAAAAGACTGAATATTTAGTGAACTTTGGTAGATTAGCTGACTATTTTTTAAAATTTAAGCTATTAATGCTCAGTAAAACCAATTTTTTATCTTTACACTGCTATTTTATCTAATGTACAAAGAATACAGCAAACATCATATATCATTAGCACAAAAATTAATAACTTAGTGGTCTATTATTTTTTAGTTGGTTTTGAGAGAGAGAGAGAGAAAGAGAGAGAGAGAGAGAGAGATCAATCTGCGGTTGCACTCATTTGTGCATTCATTGGTTGAATCTTGTATGCTCCCTGACCGAGGATAGAACCAGCAACTTTGGTGTGTCAGGTCAATGCTCTAACCCAGTGGTCAGCAAGCCGCGGCTCGTGAGTCACATGTGGCTCTTTGGCCCCTTGAGTGTGGCTCTTCCACAAAATACCACGTGCAGGTACACGTACAGTGCGATTGAAACTTCGTGGCCCATGCGCACAAGTTGGTTTTTGGCCTGGGCGAGTCTATTTTGAAGAAGTGGCGTTAGAAGAAGTGGGGGGTGTTGGTCGGTCGGAGGCCAACCAGCAAGGGGGCCGCGGGATACGCAGGGCCAGGGAGGCGCGTGAGCGATTCATGCACGAGTTGAGTGAGCCAGTCAGTCAGCAGTCTCCTTGTGCAGTGGTTAGTGCTAGTTGCGTCTGCAAATCGCGCACGGGTGACAAAAGTACCTACTCGAAGCATAAAGTTACCTGTATTTTTCCAACCAGCTGCAAATCCTACAGGTATTTTTGTCATCAATTTAAGAATTGTAATTCTTTTGTGATGGCTTTATTATTATAAAATGAAACATTTTTTTAGGTGCCCTGTTTGAGATGGCTACAAAGAAGAAGCAAGGCAAAACAGAAGACGAAAACTGTGAATTTAAAGTAGAATGTATCCACCTATATAGTTTAAGTTTAAAAAATTTGGCTCTCAAAAGAAATTTCAATCATTGTACTGTTGATATTTGGCTCTGTTGACTAATGAGTTTGCCGACCACCGGCCTAGACAGTCTCCACCACAATGTTTTTACAACATGTTGAAGGAAGGTGTCAGCCCCTTGTGTAGATAACATCTTGCTCAAAGGCTGCCTTGAGGGGAAGAAAAGTGAAACAGATATGTTCACTCCTGATTGAACTTGTAGGCAGATTCTGACCTAAAATCACCAGCTCTGTTCTCCCTGGGTAAAGCGTCGCCTGTTGGACTGCTCCGTCTTGTCTTTCCATAGTGGCGTCTCCAATATAGGACTCACCAAGAGTAAGGTTGAGTGCTTCCAGCTAACTTCCTGTTTTGCATGGTTTGGAGACCTTAGTCTTGATGGGTCACAGGAAGTAGTGGGTGAGAAGCCAGGGCTACGCATCAGAGTTTCCATGTTGACCGCATGTAGATAGCGAGAACACAGCTCATGCAGGTGAGAAAGCTGGTTATGTGCTGTGGTTTTTTGTTGTTGCTGTTGTTAATCTTTACCCGAGGATATTTTTTTCTATTGAGTTTTAGAGAGAGTGGAAGGGAAGGAGGGAGAGAGAGAGAGAGAGAGAGAGAGAGAGAGAGAGAGAGAGAGAGAGAGAGACTGATGTTTCTCTCTCTCCCTCCCTCTCTTTTCATCTCTGAAATAAATAAAAATAAATTAAAAAAAACACAGAATTGGCATTTGACCCATTTCTAGGAATATAGCCTAAGAATCCCAAAACACCAAATCAGAAAGAATATATGCAATCCTATATTCATAGCAGCGTTATTGACAGTAGCCAAGATGTGGAAACAGTCCAAGTGCCCATCAGTAGATGAGCAGATAGAAAAGCTGTGGTACATGTACACCATGGAATACTATGCAAATGTGAAAAAGAAAACTCTGTTACCCTTTGAGACAGCATGGGGAGGACCTGGAGAGCATTATGCTAAGGGAAATAAGCCAGTCAGAGAAAGATAAATACCACATGATCTCACTTTTGGTGGAATCCAATGAACAGAATAAACTGATGAATAAAATAGAACCAGGGGCATTAAAGCATGCAACAGACTGATGAATCTCAGAGGAAAGGGGGAGATGGGAAGAGATTAACCAAAGAACTTATATTCATATTGGCACTGCCCATGGACACAGACAACAGCCTGCTGAAGGCTTAGGGTGGGGCGGGAACTAGGAAGAGGGGGCAACAGGGAAAATAGAGGGGACATCTGTAGTACTCTCAACAATAAAGATACAAGAAATACAAATAAAGGGTGAAAAAAGTCAGCCAGGAGAATTGAGAATGCTTTGCGTTATTATTTTTTTTAATTACAGGAAATGAGTTACACCGAAGCTACAGGTGAGAATTTTCTTACTCACGTTCAGGAAGGTGGGGGTGCAAACACCTCAGACTCATATAAGAAACCACCACTCGATTAGCTTGAAAGTGGATCTGAGCTCCTCAGCGTCCCTTCCTCCCGTGTGCTCTGCTGGACTCTGCAAGCTCGGATGTTATCCACCTGCAGCCCAGGCATCTTCCTGGTGGCTGTCAGGGCTCGGTCCGCAGGGCTACCCTGCCTGGCTTTTCTGCTCACTTGGGCTCAGTTCAGGCACCTCTTGCTAGTGTCCTCCGTGTGAAACCTTATGGCTGCGCCAGTTTTCAGCCAGTGTCGGCAAGAGAGCCAGGAGCACCAGCATGGCTGTGCCCAATTGGATCAAGTTCTGCACCGTGTAGTCTTGGCTCATGGTACCTAGAGGCACAATTCAAAGGGCATGGACCGTCACTGGTCATGTTCCATATCATTTCAGCTCCAGAGCCCAGGGATGGGAGCTCATTTTTATTTTTAAAAATACATATTTAAAATATATTTTTTATTGATTTCAGAGAGGAAGGAAGTAGGAGAGAGAGAGAGAAACATCAATGCTGAGAGAGAATCATTGATTGGCTGCCTCCTGCAGTACCCCTACAGGGGATTGAGCTGGCAACCCTGGCATGTGCCCTGCCCAGGAATCAAGCCTGTGACCTCTTGGTATGTGGCTCGATGCTCAACCACTGAGCTACGCCGGAAGGGCAGAACCAATATAATCTCATTAACCAATGCCACCCCAATAAATTTAAGAGAAAATTTAAAAAAAAGGAAGAAAATCAGAGGTGGGTCAGTCTAAGGATGTGTCAGGGATCTGTTGTCTCAACAATGTCCCTTAAACATGATTCTGAATAATGGCCTCTCCCTGTTTTCATTGGTGCTGTCTGGGGAAGTCTAGGAGAGGAAGTGAAAGCCAAATGTGACAGGAGTGAGAAGAGCTTCTCTCTCCTCGGCCCTCTGGGTAATGGCTCTCTACTGCCCCGCTGTTGTTTCTCAATGCACCTCGTTATGTTCCCACCCAATGCCAAGGCCCCGGACAGCCAGCTGTAGCCCAGAGGAGGAGGGCATAAAGATGGAAAAGCACTTACATGTTTAAGTGAAATATTTCATATATATATGTCATCTGTAATACAGTATATGAAAGGTATCCTATATAATAAAAGGCTAATATGCAAATAGACTGAACAGCAGAATGGCTGGTTGCTATGACGTGCACTGACCACCGGGGGCAGATGTTCAATGCAGGAGCAAGAGGGTGCAGGCTGGGCTGAGGGACCCTCCCCCCCAGTGCTCGAATCTCATGCACCAGGCCTCTAGTAAACAGTAAGTCTAATATGCATGTGTATACCATACTCAGTTTGAAAAATAGAATATTCTTAGAACTAGAAAGGAAGAATAACCTAGTGCTTAAGAACTTGGACTCTTGAGGCAGCTAATACTGTTGCAATCTAGGCTCATGTAATTTTAGCTGTGGAATAATGGGCAAAATCACGGAATCTTAACGATGTAGTCCTGGAAAAAAGACTTGAAATTTCTGTGCCTCCATTTTCTCAGCCTTAAAAAAAAAAGAGATGACTTACTTATTGGGTTTTTATGATGATTGAGTGAATACGAAAGATACCTAAACCAATGCCTAGCCAAATAAAAAGGCCCACGTATATTCAAGGTTTTCTGTGCAGTTCTCCCAAACCCTTCCCCCAGAAGTAAAAACTCTTGAATTAAAAAAAAAGAAAGATGAGATGTACCGCCCTAGCCAGTTTTGCTTAGTGGATAGAGTGTTGGCCTGTAGACTGAAGAGTCCCGGGTTCAATTCCGGTCAAAGGCATGTACCTAGGTTGTAGGCTCCTCCTGGCCCTGGCCCCGGGCCCTGGTTGGGGCCCATGCAGGAGGCTACCAATCGATGTGTCACTCTCACATCGATGTTTCTCTCTCTCTCTCTACCTCTCCCTTCCTCTTTGAAATCAATAAAAATATATTAAAACAAAAACTTTCACTGGGAGTTCATGCTTTTTCCTGAAGGATGAACAGCACTAACTTGATACTGCAAAGAAAATTTAAAGTTGTCATCTCAGAATCCTTAGGTCAGGACAGCTCACCTCCTTTCAAGAGGTCATGATGACCCAGACCTGGCCCAGCCT